ACCGCCCGCCCCGCGCGGCAGAACCGGCGCCTCGGCCGGAACGCGAAGTGCTCTCGTAAACTGCCTTAAAAAAAGTGTATCCTGTTCCCAGCCTGTTTTATCATCGATTTTAACTAATGCGACTTAATTACTGTTAATATATGTGTGGGTTTTTCCCTTTTAAAGATAATTTTCTATAAGCTGGCTTTTGAAAGATGAAAGAGGAGGGTGGGTGGCTTCCAAACTAATGATCACAGGCAGTAAGAGTGTTTACTTAACAGCTGCATTTGCAAATTTGGGTCTCTAATGGATGAAATTTTGATGGAAACTGTAATCTTTTTATTATTTTCTACTTTCCTTCCCTAGCCTTTTGCTCCCACAATATTTTTTTAACCAATTAATTTAACTTACACCTATGTAGTATATATTTCCTCTATATGCAGCTCTTTGAGCTTGTCTGTGGAGCAGGAACTATATTCTGGATAAATATTGGTGTGTACCGTTTTGGGCTATTTCTGCAATCTGAGATTACTTTTGCCACACTGTGAAATATAGACATGGGTTTGCAGGTACCCAACATGTTGGGGCAAACGGGCAAAATAAAGCATTGGTTTGAGGAAATCTACTTTCCTGTTGTAATAGTGAAATTGTATTTGATGGCCAGTAGAGTGGTGGGTCTTGAAAATATTTTTCTGTTTTTTTCCCCTCACAAACAGGAACCCAGCTTTGCTGCAAGCGATTGGTGTGAAGAAGCAGATGACTGGGGAGGCTGCGATGGAGCAGAGCCCCCGGCGTTCACATCCCTTCAGCTGCTCGGCTTGAACGAAGCAGTGATGAGCGACTCCTCGCCCAGAGAGGCGGAGTGCGCATCCCACTTCCAGCGGCTTCGCTTGTCCGAAGCTGCGGACGCGCCGGCTCCGCCGAGTCAGTCTGCTCCTGTCGGGGAGGGGGCAGCAGCGGCTGGTTCAGCCCCTGTGTTCCAGCCCTTCTACATTAATGTTGTGGATGAGGAGGATTACGCTGGTTTCCTTGACACAGATCATGCAGATAAGCTTTTAAAGGAGTATCAGCAGAGAGAGGGTGTTGATGTGGAACAGCTGATGTCAGAAAGGTGAGAACAGGTTTGGATGTTGTGCTGAAACTGAAGGGGTTGCAGTTTCCTGTGTGCTGGCTGATAGACTGCATGTGATTCTCTGTACATCTGAGTGCTTTTTGTTCATCATTGATTGCTGGTGGAATCAGTTATGTGTGGTACCTTGCAGGAAGATCTCAAGAATGAGCAGTTTTGTTAAAACTTGAAACTTTGAGTTATTCAGAGATGTACCTGTTTCTGAGATGTTGAACGACTGGAACCTCCTTGGGCTGTGGATGGTGCAGTGGACCTTCGGTCTCTAAAATGTGCCACTTAACAGGAAATGTGGCTTAAACCACAAGTTTGTATTGTGAATTTGACTTTTAAGCACACTACCTTTCTTTCATTTGCATTTGAGGTTTTCAAAAGCTTACTTGGAAAAGTAAGACTAAATTGATTTAGTCTTTGACTAGAGGCTGCGGTGATGGTAACATAAATACAGAGTAATACTACTGATTTACAGAACACTCATTGTACTGAAAGCCTGGTTGGAAATTTTGTTTTTTTCTTTCTCCATAGTTTTGCAGGTGGAAGTGACAATGAAAAATATGAGAAGAGTGAGGTCAAAAGCAGAGATCACACATTTCATAAATTTATGAAAAGAATATCTGTCTGTCCTGAACAGATTATAAGGTATGATGATCTTTTTGTTATAACAGGGGGATATATTCTGTAGTCATGAATTGCTAGTACAGCAAAATAAACTGTTTCATTGGAATTTTTTTTTCTTGATCAAAACTTTTGGCCAGAGCACTGCCAGCATGTATGTGTAATCAGACTTCAATCCCTGGTTAAATAAAAAAGTATAAGATGAGAAACAAAGCAGAGTCAGAGGGCCTGGACCAGCCGGTAGGAGAATCTCTAACCCAAGCCCTGCCGAGAGCCAGGCCATGCTCATGCAGTTTTCCAGAGGCAGTCTTCAGGGGAAATTACAATGCATGGTGGCATGTTCCTGTGAGAATATGTTCAAGGTCATCTGCTCCTCTGAAGTTTTGTAATGTTACTATCACTGCTTGTGTCAAGTCTCTTCATTGTGTTATCAGCAGGACATGTTGACATTCAGTGGAAACTGTGTTTGATCATGGTACTTATACGTGGAGTTATGACAGCCCTTAGCAATAGTTTTTTTCATATGTACAGGGCTTGCGAAGCCTGTTCTGTGTTGGATATACTTAATTGCCAGCAATGAGGGTTCCATTTCCAGGAAAGTATAGTTTTTTAATTAAAAAAAAAAGTCAGGTGCAGGATATCTTGAAGTATCATTGAAGTATCAATTGAAAGCATTTTTTTTAATGCAACTCTGTCTATAAGTGTCTCTAAGTGTTGATCTTCCAAGAATTTTCCCATCCCCATCTTTAATCTTGAATGACTCACCTTAAACTTGGCAGTGATTCTGGTTCTTTTGTGTGTATTTCAAGCAAGCCCTGAGGTTTCAGGGAGTCCTAAACACCGACACCATGTGTGTTTTGCTGTGAAATTTAGATATAAAGAATATATATATATGTATTTTTTATTTTCTTTCCCTAGATACTCCTGGGGAGGGGAACCTCTATTCATAACATCTCCTCCAGCTGATATTAACAAAGATATTCCAGCCTGCAGTAACTGTGGAAGTAACAGGGTGTTTGAATTTCAGCTCATGCCAGCACTGGTCAGCATGCTGCAGAGTGATACAGGTGTGGAGTTCTTCTGTTTAGCTGAACTGTCAGCTTCTTGGTAAAATGTAGTGGACTGAAATTGGTTTATTACTTCTAATGTGCAATGGTTATTTTATCTGTCTACTGTGTGGGTTTGTCACAAATATATGGGAGAAGACCACTATCCTTCAGATTGCTACCAAGCTCCTTTAGAGCTCTGGCAGCCATTTAGTGTCAGATTTACAGTGGTCTTTGTTCTGTACTTCTTGTTTCAGATCACTGATAGATTAGGTAATGTTAATACTATTTAATTCTTTTAGCCCAGATCAATCTGCCTACTTGAATCATTTTACAGAACTTTGAACTAAACCCACAAAAATGACCAATAACGTTATGTGGCCAATGTGTAATGAATTTGTGCAAGTCTACACATAAATGCAAGAACAGTAATAAGTAAAAGCTCCTGCATGGATTGATTTCCTAATACACGTCTTTATTTTGTTTTTAGATCTATCAGTGGAGTTTGGGACTGCCATAGTTTACACGTGTGAGAGGAGCTGTTGGCCAACAAATCATCAAACCCCTCTTGAAGAATTTATTTTTGTACAAGAAGACCCAGATCAGAAATTATTTAAATAAAATATATTACAGCACATGTATGGAAAATCTATTTTTAACTTCAGTTGAACATGTGTAATTATTTCATTTTTTTTTCTAAAAATGAAGTTCATTGGATGTATGGCTCATTTCCAAGAATAACAAATTGGTCAAAATATCCATAGCATGCATTGTAAAATACAGCAGTGTAGAAAATTGCTCACTTTGCTTAAACATGCAGGATATTGTTTTGTGATGCTGGTTACACTTTTAAACATTTTGGAGAGGAAAATGAAGGACAAAGATTGCTTAGTTACTTTTTATATGGCTTGTTACTTTAATGCTTGTGCTAGGGGGCTGGGGTCCAGTTGGTAGGAACTGCATATCAGAAATTCAATGCCTTGTTGAAAAAAAGAAAAAAATGGGAATTGGCAGAGTGCTGGGCTAGTTTCTGCACTTCAGTTAAAGCAGCCTCAGCTGCAGCTCCTTCGTGACTTAGGGCTAAATTGCTGTATTTTAATTAACGTAATGGAGGAGTAACTTAAGTGAGGGTCCTTTTGGGTTCCGTACAGACCTAGCGCCACGACAGGCGCGCTGAGCAGGAGCGGGATGCAGCTCCCGGAGCCGCCCCTCGCAAACCCTCCCTGGCCGCCCGGCCCGGC